CCAGAAAAACCACCAAAACCCCAGCAAGCATTTATCTTGTCTGTGTGATGAGGGAGGAGCGGAGACATTGGCTTTTGTCGCGGCAGGAAAGGCGCTTGTGACCCGCAAGTTTACGAAAACAAGAGAACGAAGGGAGCGTGCGGTTCGAGTCCGAGCGGGTGACGACAAAACTTGATATCATGAAGCACCAAAGTGTAGAACGTTAGGCTTTTTACGTGTTTTGCTCGTTTTCTCCCCACCCCACACTTTGGAAAGCCGACTTAAGCTCGTCTTGTGTTTTTAGCGTCCTGTGACGAGCCTTTACCTCGCTTTTATTTTTTTTCCCCCTGTTTTTTTTTTCTTTTTCGTCCGATCGGTTTTGTTTTGAAAAGCGCGTTTTAGAAGGGAAAAAAAAAATTCAAGAGGGATTTTTATCGTGAGTTTAAAAAAAGCTTCCCGCGCACGTCCTGTCCTGTCCTGTCCTGTCTTGTCCGTATGCAGCAGTGGGGGGTGCAGCAGGGAGAGGGGCTAGCCTCCTCGCGTGAGGCAATTGCATGCGTGCCCCAACCGCCTCGTCCGTCCGTCCGTCCTTTGCCTTCCCGTCCGTTTTTTTTTTTTTTTTTTTCTGTTGGAGCCTGGTTTGTTGCTTCTCACTGTGTAAATACTGTGTAGAAACGTGTATCATATGTACATGCATCCTGTGCACCTTCCTTCAAGAGCGTTTGCAGGTTCCATGGCGGGTGGGGGGGGCGGCCCTAAACTTTGCATCCCGTCACTTTTTCAGCGTCATATAACACGCACGCCTGGTGCTGTGTGCCGTATCCGCCCCACCCGCCACATCATGTTGTAATCTGCACCCATCCCACTCTTGTTTGATGTGTACTGCCCCCAACAAAGTGTGTTGTCCACCCCCGTCACCATTTTGTGTTAATGCACACCGCCTCACAATGTTGCGTGATCCCCAGCCAACACATTTGTGATCTTCAGCCATCCCGCGATGTTAAGTGGCGTGCACTTCCTCACGTTTTATAATCCCCACCAGTCCCACGCTGTTATCGCCGCCCTTCCCACTTTTTGGGTGATTTGTCCTTAACACGCAATGTTGTGTGCTCCGCAGCGCCTTGCAATGTTGTATTTTCCTCCCGCCCCACAGTGTTGTGATCCAAACCGGCCCCAATACACGTTGTCTCAAAACGTCGCGATCCACAATGTGCTCCAGCTTCACAGTGTTAGTGATCCAAACCGGCCAGAAACATTGTGATTGACGCCACCTCATTATTTTGTGTGATGTGCACCCACCCCACGATGTCATCTGCACAAGGCCGCAATGTTGTATGATCGGCAGCCCCGCCCACAATGTTATGCACTTTTTCCTCACAGCTTAGCGTCCCGATGCCTCCTGACAGTTTGTTGCATTGATGTTTTGGGTTTTTTTTTTTTTTTGCAACGTCTTGTCGTCGGCTGTCAACTTTTAGGTGTTGTTTTTTTGTTTTTGGTTTTTTTTTTTTTTTTTTATTTGCCGAGTTGCCAAGGTGGAGTTCTGCACGTGACCCGCAGAAAGTGAGGCAAGGAAATGAACGCGACACACACAAATACACATGCACGGATTTGAATACGATTGCGACCTAGAATCCGCCGCCTGGTGGTTTTAAAATGTGCCTGCTCAGTTCTAGAGGTGTGGGTGTGTGATTTGGGGGGGGGGGGGCGAGCGAGCAGGAGCACTAGTTATTATGCATGTTTCAGTTACGCATTTCTACCATGTACCTACCTGAATGATGATGGAGCTCTACTAGTGTTAATTATTATGATGATGATGATAACGATACTTGCATCTTTTGAGCTTTCCTCCATCTCGAATGTGACTAGGTGACATGACAAATATTTTTTTTTAATCAAAAAGGAAAAAAAACAAACCAAAGGGGGGAAAAAAAAGGATGCCGGAGCTGACGCTTGGTATGAGGCCCTCGATGTTTTTTCCCCCTGCATTGTTTATGGTATGATATTTGGGCTGCGCTTTTTTTATCTCCCTCCCCGTCCCACCACCATCCTTACCTTTCCTTCCCTTTCCTTCCCTTCCCCAGCCTTCACGCAGACGCTGGAGTTTTTTTTTTTGTTTTTTTTTTCCGTTTTGGGTTTTTTTGCATGATCATGATGTACAATGAAATACAACAACCATTTGAATTGACGACTATATAGTGTTTGTCTGAGTGTTAGTTGGTCTTCATCCTTAGCTTTGTTATTCTTCAGACTTGGATCTTGAAAGTATTTAATAAAAATACTATTTCAGCACCCGCCCGCTCCAGACCCCGCCCCCCCTCCTCATTTACGATGCCTTTGCGTCTTTTTTTTTCAGTCATGCGGAGTGACTCCCTCTGAATAGTTTGTCACAATTTTAAATGATTTCCTCGGCGTGGTAACATGTCCAGCGTGCTTTTGTCAAATGATCAAGAATCAAGAGAAATATTTTTACATTGCATCGATAAAGATTTAGTTGCATTATCACATGCAACATTTCAGCACCAAGCACTTGTTAGTGGAGTCGTGTAATGCATGGCACCAACAAATCTATGCACCTCAACCACATCTTCAATTTAGCTGGACGTTATTCGAAGATTTTGATCAGAAGCTGATGCATCTCTGCTGACCTTAGTTTGTGCCTTTGACAGGATCACCGCTGCGGCAGCACTGACCGATTCTCCAAAAGTGGCGTCTGACTAAAGATTTAATAATTGTTTTTTTTTTACATTAGATGAGTTGGCTCACTCTCCAGACACAATTTATGTGTATACAAGACATTTTAAAAAAATCGATTTTCCGTAATGCGTCGTCTTTGGCTTCTGTCATTCTGGTAAATCCGCCTAATTTCCTGAATAACCCCCACGAGGCCTCGACCGCTTGACAGTTTGTTCATCACTCGCTGCCTCCCTTCTCGGATCTTGACTAATGCGGCGGTCTTATTTTTGATAAAGGTGTCATTTATGACGGCAGTCCACGGGATGTAGGACAGCTCCCCCTGGTTCATCTGGCGGCCGTGTTTAATGAGCCCGGGCGCTTTTTTTTCTCTCTCTCTTTCTATTTCTCAAAGACACACAAAGTCAAAGAAGTCTGCAGGGACGTGCTCTGGTTAGCTCACCGTGAACTCCCAAGTCAGGGAAAGGTCGCTTCACACGGACTGCCAAGAAACTGCGGCTGGTCGTGCAGAAATTGCTTGACTTTTGTTTGAGAATCATCAGTGCTTTTGCAGTGACAAAATGTGAAATTCAGGCGAAAGAGGGAACTCGACTGTCTTTAGAGAGGAGCACAGTTGAAGGTCAGTGGTGACCATCCAATGGAAACTTGAATGTTGATTATGTCCAGAACCAAAAGTTCTGGAAGCTTGAATTTTTTTATGATGTACAGAATCAGAAGTGCTGAAAGCTTCAATGTTGATGCTTTAATGTTAATTCTGTTACGAAGAAGTGCTTAAAGCTTCATCGGTGATTTTGTATCGATGGTTTTGTTTAGATGCAGAAGGTCGATGACAACCCGCAGATGGAATCTTTAATGTGGCTCGCGTACAGAATCAGATGCCATCTGCTTGTTGGGCTGCTGAAGGAAGCTTTATGTCGACCGTGTTCATCAGAAGTCAAATGTCGATTATGTGCACAACAGAACCAGAATGATCTTTGCCGGCCTGCTGCTTGGAAGCTTTATTATGTACAGAATCGCCAGCAGAATGTCATGATTGACCCGCTGATGGAAGATTTTAATGTTGATTATGTTCACACTCAGAAGCACCGGTGACAAGACAATGAATCACAACACGACGCACAAAGTTCCCAAACTATTACAGCACGCTGATTACGAATCAACATAAATCATAAAGACAAAACGGGCGATGGCGCCATCTAGTCGTCAGAAGCTGTATTCTCATTGAAATGTTCACAGGCCACACAAACTCGACCTAGCTCTACTCCAGGGGTGTCCAAAGTCGGTTCTCAAGGGCCGATGCCCCGCCTGTTCTCCAGCCCTCCCGGCCGCAACACACCCGATTCCGGTGATCAGCTCATCAGCCTGCTCGGAAGCAGCTTTCGAACGATGCTGATGAATTGAATCGTGTGTGTGGCTTCTGGGAGAGCTGGAGAACAGGCAGGACGCGTCGGACTCCCCGACTTTCAATGGCTTTTTGTCAAATTCTATACATTAAAGGACCATACCAGTGTTTTTGTTGATGGTTCCAATGTTCATGAATGACTGTGTTCCAGATGCCTGCCTGATCCGGGGACCACCATCTTAAAGGTAAGTCAGGCAAAGCCAAATGATTGTCCTTGATAAATGTTGTATGCTGCACTGAAGCTTGATTCTTATTTCTAGTAAATGCAAACATGAAAGAACGCACCCTGATATGTTCGAATGGCCTTATATTGTTCATCGATCACAGATACTTCGATTATGCTGGTCGTCTTATTTCGCACTGGCCACAATATTAGGTACACCTTCGATGCTTGCACTTTTCTGCATTGTTTGTCACGTGTGATGTAGAAGACACTGGTACGATTCATATTGGAACTAGCTCAGTCATCCGTTAGGAGCCTGCAAAGAAAAGCCCTTTTTTTTTTTTTTTTTTTTTTTTTTTGATGTCCCGTTTTTATCAGCTGTATTTTTTTATC